AAAAAACAAAACTAAGAACTTGGGCCCAGCCCATTGTCTTTAGCCTCCAAAGAATGAGCAGGATACAGTACTCATTTTCTTTTCATCCAAATCCAAGTTTACTGCACAGGTAGAAGCATGGTATTTGGTACTCAAAATTAATATTCTTTTGACCCTTATAGCTTGAAATGCTCATTAAGCATTCAGAGACCCAACAGCTTTACTAAATAAGAAAGGAAAGCAGTCGATCAGGCTCTATGGTGGGTTTCATATATGTCCACAAATTCTTTGACACTCTTCCCTTCAAGAGGTAGAGCTTAACTCTGCTCCCCTTGAATGTGGGCTCGACTCAGTAACTCACTTCTAATAAACACAATAAGGTAGAAGTGATGGTGTATGATTTTGGAGACTTGGTCATAAAAGGCACTGTGACTTCCTCCTTGCTGTCTCTTGGATCACTTTATCTGGGGGAAATTAGCTGTCATGTCATGAGAACAGGTCCACACGGCAAGGAATTGAGATCTCCTGCCAATGGACAGCAAGGAACTGAAGGCTCTTGTCAATAGCCACATGAGTGGGTTATCTTAGAAATGGACCTGACAGTCCCAGTCAAGCTTTCAGATGACTGCAGCCCCTGCCAACATCTGACTACAACCACATGGGAGACCACAAGCCAAAACCACCCATCTCAGCTATTCCAGATTCCTGACCTACAGAGATTGTTTGTAAAAAAATGTTTACTTTAAGCCACTAAATTTTGGGAAAATTGTTATGCAGCAATAGGTAACTAAGTCAATACCCTCTGAGGGAAAATGTCCTTACCCACTGAAACAAGGTTGCTATAATTCTCCAGCATCACATCCCCATACAGGTTTCTTTGAGCAGAGTCCAGCCGCTGCCACTCCTCCTGAGTGGAGTCCACAGTCACATCCTTGAAAGACACAAATCCCTGTAACAGGACATTCCTGATAAACCTGAAGTGAAAAACACTGGGTGATGTGTAAAAGATGCATGAGAAATTATTGCTGTTTTCATCATGCAGAGTTCATCACAATAAATTAAAGATGTTTACTATGAGGCTAATTTTGAGTTCTACTGTGTGGAAAAAGCAAACACCTAAGAGAAAAACTTTGCCATTAAGAATCATTGTCTCTTTGCATCAAGCATTTATTAAGCACCTACATGAGCAGCACTATTTGGTGCTTGGAATATAAATTTGAATAAACACAGGAAGTTTACAGACTAGTAGATGGAGGCAAACAGGTAAATATATAAATGTTATAAGGTGTTAAATGGATTATGACAGAAATAGGAAAGAGTGATTCTATGTTGGGATGTTGAAAGATCTAAAGTTATGCAAAATGAACAGTGAAAAATATAAAAATAAAAATTAAAAAATGTAAAGATAAAATCAAAAGTTTTTGAACTATAAAAAATGAATAGTGTAGAGGCCAGCCTGGTGGTGTAGTGGTGAAGTTCGTGAGCTCCACTTTGGCGGCCTGGGGTTTGCAGGTTCGGATCCCAGGCGCAGACCTACCCACCACTTATCAGGCCAAGCTGTGGCAGGCGTCCCACATATAAAGTAGAGAAAGATGGGCATGGATGTTAGCCCAGGGGCAATCTTCCTTGGCAAAAATAGAGGATTGGCAACAGATTTAGCTCAGAGCTAATCTTCTTCACACACACACAGTGAATAGTGTATTCTCTGGTAAGTTGTGGAGGAGGGAGAAAGATCATTCCAGATGGAGGTAGGAATAAGAAAAATGGCATGGGGACATGAAAAAAAACATGCATATCTGCATGCAGGTGACACGCAGATATGGTAAAAATTGTGAAGGCACTATGTAAATAAATGATGTTTGAGAGCATTATACTGAAGTACTCAAAATTCCCCGAATTTACCATGTTTTTGAAGATTTGCAATCTTCCTTTTGAAGAATATTGGCCCTTAGCTAATATCTGTTGCAAATCTTCCTCTTTGTCTTTTTTTCTCCCCAAAGCCCCAGTACATAGTTGTATATTGTAGTTGTGGGTCCTTCTAGTTCTTCCATGTGGGACACCGCCTCAGCATGTCTTGATGAGCAGCGAGTAGGTCCTCGCCCAGGATCCAAACCGGTGAACCCCAGGCCACCGAAGTGGAATGCATGAACTTAACCGCTATGCCACCGGGCCGGCCCCGCCTGCACTGTTTTTGACTTAACACAGTTGTCCCTCGGTATCCACAGGCGATTGGTTTCAGGACCCCCCTCGGATATCAAAATCTGCAGATGCTCAAGTCTCTTATATAAAATGGCGTAGCATTTGCATCTAACCTACCCACATCCTCCCGTATACTTCAAATTATCTCTAAATTACTTATAATACCTAATACAGCATAAATGCCACATAAATAGTTGTTATACTGTACTGTTTAGGGAATAATGACAAGGAAAAAAAGTCTGTACACCTTCAGTACAGACACAATCATCATAGGCCTTTTGATCCATTGGTTGGTTGAATCCTAGAATGCACAACCTGCTGATACAGAGCGCCAACTGTAGTTTTAACTCAACCTTTTTACTTAAATAAATGTATTTTAAAAGGAAACCACTAAGCGGAATACCAGTATCACGTGTCATAAAATGAAGATAACAACAACGAAAATCTGCAAAGCAAATATATACTGGTGAAATGCCATGTATGGGATTTGCTTTAAAATGAGCAACTCCAGAGAACAAATAAAGGAAGAGAGAGGCAGGAAAGGTGTCAGATTGGAAAAACATTGATAGTTTTTGGAAATATATGAGGAAGTACAAGGCATTTTTTCTACCATTCTCTAAATTTTTATTTATGTTTGAATTTTTCCATCAAAAAACTTTTAAAAATTAAATACAACAGAAATCATTGTTTTTAAAGTTTAAACTAAAATAAAAACCAAAAAATAAGCAATATTTACTCTAATCTATTTATTTTTTTAATGCATACCTAGAAACAATGAAAATAAAGGAATAATTTATGATCAGTTAGTAATAATGTGCTATTGAGCTCATTGTTGCTTACTTCTCAAACCATGATTAGGTTCTACCTCAGTAAGAGAATTCTGTTTTTAAGTCTGATGTTAATCAAATCCAACCAAGATATATCTGAAAGATAGTGTACAAGAGAAGGAGAGGAATCAACTAAAAGTCCCTGGTTTTTGGTCTAAGCAACAGGCACCCCACTAAAGTCCAGAAGGTAAGAAAGAGCAAGGTTGGTGGAGGGGAGAGGTGGAATCAAAAATTCTAGTTGTCCAACAATAAAAAGACAAATGATTCAATTAAAAAATGGGCAAAGGACTTGAATAGACATTTCTCCAAAGAAGATATGCAAACTGACAAATGGCACAGGAAAAGATGCTCACCTTCATTAGTCATTAGGGAAATGCAAATCTCAGCACAATGAGATATAACTTTACACCTAATAGGATGGTTATAATCAAGAAAATGGGGGGCCAGCCCTGGTGGCCTAGTGGTTAAGTTCAGCACGCTCCACTTCGCAGCCCGGATTTGGTTCCCAGGTGTGGACCTACACCACTCTGTTAGTGGCCATGCTGTGCTGGCAGCCCACATACTAAAAAATAGAGGAAGATTGGCATAGATGTTAGCTCAGGGTGAATTTTCCTCAGCAAAAAAAAAGGAAAACACAAATGTTAGCGAGGATGTGGAGAAATTGAACCCTCATAAATTGCTGGTGGGAATGTAAAATGGTGCAGCTGCTTTGCAAAACATTTTGGCAGTTCTTCCAAAAGTTAAACATGGAATTACCATATAACTGAGCAATTCTACTCCTAGCTATATACTCAAAAGATCTGAAAACAGGTACTCAAACAGATACTTATATGTCAATGTTCATAGCAGCTTTATTCACAATAAAGCCAAAACATAGAAAACAACCCAATGTCCATCAGCAGATGAACAGATAAACAAAATGTGGTCTATCCATACAATGGACTATTATTCAGCCATAAAAAGGAATGAAGTTCTGATACATGCTACAGCATAAATAAACCTTGAAAGTATGCTAAGTGAAATAAGTTAGGCACAAAAAGACAAATACTGTATGATTCCACTTATATGAAATATCTAGAATAGGCAAAATTATAGAGTCAGAAAGTAGTTTTGAGGTTACCAGGGGCTGTGGGGGCAGGGGAGGAATGGGGAGTTCTTGCTCCATGGGTATAGAGTTTCTGTTTGGGGTGATGAAAAAGTTTTGGCGATAGTGGTGATGGATGCACAAATTGTGAATATAATTAATACCACTGAATTCTACACTTAAAAATGGTTACAATGGCAAATTTTACGTTGTACATATTTTACCACAAAAAAATTCTATTTGTCCACATTAAGTTCGAGACATCTATTATAATAGATAATCAAATGGCAATAATGAATAGGCAACTGGACTTCAGTGGGATGACAACTGCTCAGAACAAAAAGCACGCAGCGCAGAATTCAAGCTGAGAAGAGAGAAGAAGTGGAGACGGGTGTAACCGACTGAAAAAATGGAGGCTCAATGGATCCGGGGTCTGGATGGACCTGAAGAATTGCTGGAGTCAAGGCGCTAGACTAAATGAGCTGGAAACACAGAAATAATGGCCAGGGAGCGAAATGCTTGGAGGTGGTAAGTTATTGGTAATTGTAAATCTAGACTATGACTATGGGAGTTGGTGGCTGAGATGGGGTAGGGGAAAATGATCTCTGGAAATCAGGAGGTACACTGGTACAATACAATAGTACTGTGATATTGTGATTTATAATAAGCAATACATATTTGGTCTTCATCCTGTTCCTGGCACAGAGCTCCTAACATTCTTGGATATTCCGGTAATGAGAGAGCAATAAAGGCATCTTTTTTTATGTTAATGAGGTGTCCCTGGACTGCACCTAAGGATGGGGCTGGTTGCCAGGGGGACTAACCATGAATAGGGGGTTGCAACTTTCAGCCCCACTCCTTGACTTCCAGGGAGGAGAGTGGGGCTGGAGTTTCAATCAATCACCAATGGCCAATGATTTAATCAATCGTGCCTATGTAATGAAGCCTCCAAAAAGACCCAAGAGGAGGGAGTTGGGAGTGCTTCCAGGTTGGTGAACCAGAATGCTTCCACATGCCATGTGAAGGGCCCCAGGCTCCATGAGGACAGAAGTGCCTTTGCTTGGGACCTCATTCTATATGTATCTCTTCATCTGGCTGTTGATTGGTATCCTTTAATATTCTTTGTAATAAACTGGTAATCTAGTTAGTAAACTGGTTTCCTGATTCTTGTGGGCCACTCTAGCAAATTAATCAAACCAAAGGAGGGGGTCATGGGAACCTCTGATTTACAGCCAGTCAGAAGCACAGGTAACAACCTGGACTTGCGATTGGCGTCTGAAGTGGAGGCCAGTCTTGTGGAACTGAGCCCTTAACTTGTAGGATCTGAGGCTATCTCCAGGTAGGCAGTTTCAAAACTGAGTTGACTTGTAGGACACCCAGCTGGTGCTGGAGGACTGTTTCGTGGTATGAGGAAAAAACCCACATATGTTAGAATTGGTGCAGAATTACAGGTACATAACCCAGTAGTCCCTAAACTTTTAAAATTGGAGACTGATACTGTGATATAACAAGAAATATATATTTTGGTCTTTGCCCCTTGCTCCTGGTCAGAGCTCCTAAAATTCTTGGAATTTCCTGGGTGATAGGAGTGTCTTTTGTTTTAATGAGGTGAGTCTTGGTGAGACATTTTTCAGTTTAAAAATAAAAGAAGCATGCATATCAATAATATATACTTTTTTAAAAAAAACATAAATTACGTGCAAGTACTTCAATACTGAGATATCATGGTCATTAAAAAGACACATAAAGTGCCGGCCCGGTGGTACAAGCGGTTAAGAGCGCGCGCTCTGCTGCGGCAGCCCGGGGTTTGCCGGTTTGGATCCCGGGCACACACTGACGCATCCCTTGTCAAGCCATGCTGTGGCGGCGTCCCATATAAAGTGGAGGAAGATGGGCATGGATGTTAGCCCGGGGCCGGTCTTTCTCAGCAAAAAGAGGAGGATTGGCAGATGTTAGCTCAGGGCTGATCTTCCTCACACACACACACACAAAAGACACATAAGTAGCAGTTCTCATCTTTTCTCCCCAGATCCCAGTGGATCATCTTGCACATCTCCTAAGGAATGCATGTTCCTCACTTTGAAGACTACAATACTGAAGCTATGTGCTACATAGTGGGTATAATCAATGGAACATTATAGGTAAAAATTAAACAATATATACTTTCAAATAAAAACATAAAACTGTATGACGATCACAACCATTAAGATGGCGGCTAGCAGTGTTTAGCTGAGTGATAAGCCAACAGAAATGCGCAAATTCACTTGATCTCCACTATCCACCATGCGTGCTCACTTGATATGCACTTTGAGGTTCTCAATCTATTGCATTTTAAAGGAAAAATATCTGATTCTTTATTGGTTAAAAACTGCAAATTAAAATTGATACTATTAGTACCTTTAATAATATGGATCTCCTGGACCAATTTTACAAACTCCCAGGGTTGAGAAATGCTGCTCCAAAAATTATAGATTTGATTCATGCATTGAGGCAGACTGTTTGACAGCTGTGTACTTGGACCTCATGTTTTTACTGCCTAGAAATTGAATTCTGTCTTATTATTATGACCTATACTTATTTTGACAAATGGTTTAAGAACAGCTGTGGGGAAACCTGCAGTGGAATTTATCATGGGTTGGTAAATGTTAAGGACACTGCCTACTAAATCATATGTATGCAGATCCATCAGGGGAATAACTTCAAACCTAAATGCCAAAAAATCTTACTGCTCTCAAGAAGTTATCACATTTAATGTATACTGTAAATCATATAATTGCAGATGATATGCTCAACCTTAACTATGAAAGATTCTATAACTTGTATGATTATGTTCCAAGTTTCCTCAGTAAAGGCCTTCTATTTTATTTTCCCTGATCTCTATTTATATTTTTTCATTTAATTGAATTAATTCTTTTAAACTGCCTCAAACACAGTAGAAAACAAAGTGGGGTATAAATAGCTCACTTACCTGAGACGTGGTCATTTTCTGTTGCTCTTCAGAAGGCGCAGATATCTGTAAAGACAGAGCTGGGAGGAGCAGGGAGGGGATAAAAAAAAGTCAGCCTTGGGGGTCTGGGTCTGTCCTGTGATTCCCAGAATCATGAGCCTAGAATTTCCTAAGATCAACTACATAAAAGACTACCCTTTGGAAACTGCCCCTTTCAAAGGGTCCTTTCAGAGACACCAGAAAGGACTATGCTGTGATAACATCAACCTATCAACTGACAATTCTGAAAATGTTATGACATGATGTTTTTCCTTTGAGGATGTGAATGTTTGTATTCCAGAATATGTTTAAAAAGTTTCTCTTCCTTCGACCCCACAAATCTATTATTAGATATTTATTCTAAAAAACTAAGCATGGGGCCGGCGCGCTGGCTTAGCGGTTAAGTGCGTGCGCTCTGCTGCTGGCGGCCCGGGTTCGGATCCCGGGTGCGCACCGACGCACCGCTTCTCCAGCCATGCTGAGGCCGCGTCCCACATACGGCAACTAGAAGGATGTGCAACTATGACATACAACTATCTACTGGGCTTTGGGGGAAAAATAAATAAATAAATAAAATTATAAAAAAATAAAATAAAATAAAAAATAAAAAATAAGAAAAAAAATAAAAAACTAAGCATGGATGTATACAAAGATATAACTGCAAGGATATTCATCACTATGCTGCTTTATCACCTAAAAAGTAGAAACCACCTAGATGTTCAACAATAGGGATTGATTAAATCAATTACTGAAAGGCTAGAATACCACACAGCATTAAAATTGTCTTAGGAAAATATTTACAGACCTACAAAAATTTTCTTGTTGTATTACAAAGTAAGAAAAATAGGTTATAAAACAATAAATATATTGAAAAGAAATATACTTGAAAGAAAAAAGTGTCTGAAAGGACATACATCGAAATGTTATGGCTACATTTGGGTGGTAGGATTACATGTGATTTCTACTGAGTTGCATTTAGCATTCTCAGTTTCCAAGTTTTCTAGAAGAAACATTATTTTTGAAATAAAAAATGATAGTTATTTTTAGTGGCTATTGCCCTATTGCCTCTTAACCAAAGTTCATATCAAGGAAGTTCTGAAGGGCACAATTCACTAGAGGGAGTTTGGCTGAAAGAAAATAAATAGGGGTTGAATAAACCGTAACAAGTCACTCTCATCCATAGACTATAGATCATTTCAAATGCACGGGATCAATTCAAATGTCACCTTCTCTAGAAAGCCTTTCCAGGTGCCTCCTGGATAGAAAGTCAACATTCCTTCTTCTGACTTTCTCCGAGCGTCCAACACTCTGATATGGGGTTTTCCTGATGCGGGTTTAAACAAAGGGATAATGCAGCCTGAACTAAGACCATGGCAGCGGGAATGGGGAGGACAAACTGGAGATAACGTCAGGGAGTCAAAATCACCAGGATCAGAAGATTGACTGGATATGGGAGAAGGATGGGGAGAAAACCAGATGTCTCCAAGATTTTTACTATGGCCAACTGGATGAATGCCATTCATAATGCTGTAGATGCCATTTATCATGATGTAGAAATATAGTAGGACGAGCAGGTAAAGTACGGAGACGGAAGACGATAAACTCTATTTTGATCATGTTAAGATCAAGGTGTCCGAGTAAACCTCGCAGATCTGTAGGAGACAGTCAGCTACTGTGAATCTGGAGCTTGTTAGAAATGTCTGGGCTGGTGCCATAGATTGTCAAGTCATGATTTTAAAGGTGTACTGATGTAATGAGTGTGGTTGACACTGTCCGGAGATACTGCATAGATTGAAGGACAGGGAGAAGGCAAAGGAGCTTTGCGAAAGGATTTTTGAGGAGAGACTTAGGCTTGAAGTACTTCGCCAGCTAAAAGCCAGTATTAGCAGAGAATACAATCTGCCTGAAGTTTGTTCACCAGATTCAAGGGTGGAAACAGAACTCTCCCCCTATCCTCAGCATCCTTAGGGACATAAACCCACACAAGAAAACTCAGCACACTATGCTACGTGTGGAGCGCAGCCTGAACGCCAACTGTTACAATTCTGGGCTAGAACTCCAATCACTGATCAAGAGCTGCCTGCTCCCCAAGCGATCACACAGGCTCCTAACAGTTGCCCACTACAGCCTCTACTCACTGACCCAAAATAACCCTAATGACGGATACCCCCCTTCAGGGCCCCAACCACTGATTTCTATATGACCCTAACCCGTGATCCTGAGAGTCCCAGAATCACTCACACAGACACGCCCAATCACTAGCCCCACAAATCCCCGATAAGCTGCTGACTCTCTGATCAGAGTCCACTACCAGCAGCACCACTAAATAACTGAGTTCCACAGGGCGGCAGTCACTGTCTTGGGCAGGCCCCCTTAATTACTAATCACAACGGCACCAGAAATTACGGACCGCTACAAACGCTCAATCCATGATCCAATATGACGCCCTTACTCCCAACACCGCAGACAGTGACCGAAACCTCATTTTCTGAGAAACAGACTCCTCTACTTCCAGTCTCTTCTTCAGGACACTCAGCAGAGCCCTACAACACACCCCTTCCATCGCCGGGCCTGCCTGATTCTCGGTGTTACGGCGGAAGTTGGAGCAGCCCCTGACTCGCCTCTATCGCGAGACTTTCCGGGTTGTTAGTCTGCCTGAGCCGGGGATTAACATGGCCGCGCCCGTTGAGCGGAAAGTCTGTGAGAGTGGGTTGCGCCATATTTCAAGTAGGTGTTGGTGCCGTACAGCAGAGAATTCTTAAAGCAAAAGAGGCGAGAGCCAGAGTACTGGAGTTACGGAAAAGATGTACCGGCACAATGCGGTAGCCAAGACATAAACTAGGAAAGAATTCCAGGTATCTGAGGATGTAGTCCGGGAACCTATTCGGCTACGATGTGTAGAAAATGCAAACGCAGCGGAAGGTGTAAAGCAAAGATGGGGGAGTGGAGAGGGGCAGTAGGGGAAGCCCCTCCTGTTACTAAGCAAATAAGGAGAATTAGTCCCTGAGAGTTTAAGTCGGTTGATCTCCATCACATTGCCTCACTATTCCAACCTGAGGTATAGTAATAATAAGAGTAAATGTTTATTGAGCACGTACTGTATGTTTACTGGAGGTAGGTTATTTAATTTAGGTTTTAATGGAGGTGGAGAGGTCAGGATGGAGCCGTATTCTCCCTGGGAGACAGCACTGGGAGACGGGAAGTCACAATGCCTTTCATCTGGTGAACTCCTGCTAATCATCCAGGAAAATGAAATTCAAATATCCTCTCCTGGGAACACTTTCCCTGATTGGGATGGGAAGACTCTCCCCCTGCTAAAGACACGTGAGATAGCAGCAGAGGGGAAGTGTTTGGGGATAAACTCTGAAGGATAATTCAGAACCCCTAGAGTCTCCTCTCAACCTGGTCTTGAACTTGCTCTGTGGCCTTGGGCCAGCCACTTTCCCTGGGTTCTCTCATTTGTAAAGCAGAGGAAGGTTGTGAAATACTCTTTGGGGTATTTCAGTGTTTGCTGACATAAAGTTTTAGCGTCAGTGTCAGTGAAAAGCATTTTAGAATCCACAGGTTTTACATAAATACCATATAGTGTTATTACTGCTAATTTATTAAATAAGCAGGCTATTAGACTGAGGTGGTTCTAATACCTTAGCAGCCTTCACAAGGAAACCAAAACCTAAGCCTGTAAATGCCTCAAGGTTATGAAATCGAAACCTAACGACAACCACTCACAAACAGCCACGGAGGCTTTCCCAAACAAGGCAATTGCTTAAGCTACAGCCAATCAAATAATTTCCTTGCTTTGCTTCTGGGTCTTCGCTACAAAAGTCTTGCTCCTCGCTCCTATCAGTGAAGCACTTCTAACCACTTTTGGTTCAGTGCTGCCCACTTTGAATCAACTATTGCTCAAATAAACTCTTAAATTTTAATATGCCTCAGTTTATCATTTAACAGATATCCAGATATCTGGATATAGTACAGAATATCCAGCCCTAACTAATGCCTAAAGACACTACGGATTAATACCCGGGTTCACTCAGCTCTTTAAAACTAGATATAGTGAACTTCATATTTCTGGAATGTCCTCCCAACCATATGCCAGGAAAATTACTATTCCTGCTTCAAACCTGGGCTGCAAAATCCTCTTGAGCTCAGAGTCTGATGTTTACAATGCAGTGTGACCAGTGATCTGACCAGGGCATGATTGGTGCTGTGAGGGCTCAGTAAAAGGTGGCTAACTCTGTCAGAGCTGTGATAGTGGTGGAGGTGTGGGAAGGGGCTCTCAGGAAGGCTTAGGACATGATTTTAAAACCTGAATCTTGGAAGAGGAGCAGGAATTTGTCAGGAAAACAAGGTGAAGAAAGGAAGTCACAACAGTAGAAGAGCAGGTATAAACCACTCCTCACATACCTTAGAGCAGACTCATCCCATCTGCATCTTTATTCAGGTGGTTCCCTCTGTTAGGAATGCCCACACACTCCTGTTTTGTGGGGCAATTCCTTGCCAAAGATCAGGGGCATCTCCTTTGCCTTGTGAGGCCCTAAATGAATAGTTCTTTTACATGTATAATCTAATTCAGGAGTCTGCAGTCTACAGCCCTTGGGCAAATCTGGCCTGCTGTCTGTTTTGATAAAGTTTTATGGGAACACAGCCTTGCTCATTCATTTATGTATTGTCTATGGTTGCTTTTGTGCTGTAATGGCAGAGTTGAATAGTTGTGACAGAAACCATATGACCTGCAAAGTCTAAAATATTTACTATCTATCCCTTTACAGAAAAAATTTGCTGACCCCTAATTTAATGCTGAGAGAGAAACCATTATTATCCTGGTTTTACAGAGGAGGAATATGAGACACCAAAAGGTCACACAGATTGTTGGTGGTGTGGCCAGATGCAAACTCCCAAAGCCCGACTCAGAGCTTATGTTCCTAACCACTACACTACACTACACTACACTTTAAGGAATGCCTTTTGAATGTCAATTAATTTCTTTTGGTAAAGAGGCAAAGATATCAATATAATTTGTCATCCAACACAGGACAGTTTTGACAGTGAAAAGAGGTGCTGTTAATAACTATATCTGGACAACAGGCATAAAACCTGTCCTTGGCAATCTGAGATGTGTGGTCACCCTAGAGATAGGAACAGAAGTACACAAGATAGAGTAAAATAGAAAGATAAAATTAAGAAAGGTGGGGGGCCGGCCCGGTGGCACAGCGGTTAAGTGCGCACACTCCACTTTGGCGCCCCAAGGTTCGCAGGCCCAGATCCCGGGCAGGCACCCACGCACCACTTGTCAAGCCATGCTCTGGTGGCATCCCATATAAAGTAGAAGAAGATGGGATGTTAGCCCAGGGCCAATCTTCCTCAGCAAAAAGAGGAGGATTGGCATTGGATGTTAGCTCAGGGCTGATCTTCCTCACAAAAAGAAAATTAAGAAAGGTGTTTTATTTCATAGTCCAGATAAGCATACTTTCTTGCTTTAGAGTCACACACATACACATTACGATAAGAATACTTTCTGGTGAATTTCTGTGTTACTCCCACTAGCTTATCATACTTATTTTATACAATGAAAATAATTCTTACTGTCCAAATATTCCAAGTTAACCATGTTGTGGGGGGATGTTCTATTCAATATTCCATTCCACTCTCAGCTGGATTATAAAGTGAGAGCAGGCATGGGCCAGACAATCCATGGAAATGGCACTATGCACATGAGAAAAACGTGTAGAAATCTTATGTGCTGCAGAGGTATGCAGATATGTGATATATTGCTTACTTTGATACAAATTTGTCATCCAAATATTGCCTTCAGTCAATCAAATCCAATCAAGATACATCTAAAAGTGGTGGTTCTTATAGATTATTATGTTATATTACATATTATATTGTGTTATTTCTATTATCTTTCTATTATAGAAAGGCGATGCAATCAATTAGGGAAAACACATACACTGGAAAAAAGAAGGCACCAAGGATGGAGCCCTGGAAAATACCAACTGGTGGGGGATGAGAAGAGAGAGGAACCAATGACAGAAACAGAAGAGAGAGAGGAGCAGAAGATCAAGAAGAGTGGTGTCAGAAGGACCAATGGTGAAATGTTTTAAGGAAGAGGGAAGCATCAAATGTCAGATGCAACCAAAATCCACTAAGATAAGGACAAAAAAAGTCCCTTGGATTTGATAACAGCAAGACGGCCTTTTTAGAAACTGTTTACCGGTAATAATGAAGACAGAGCCCTACCGCATTGTACTGAGATGTGAATGTTAACTGAGGAGGTGGAAATGCCGATATAATACCACTTTTCAAGAAGCTAGTGTTTTAAGGGAGAGAAAGATGAGGATTCAGGTTACAAGCTGGTATTTTTAACATACAAGAGAATTTAAACAGGTCAAAGACGGAGGGGAAAAGCTTCAGCAGAAAAGGAGAGTTCAAGGCCCAGAAGAGAGCAAATTCCCTGGTGGAGAATGATCCCAAGGTAGAAAGGAGGAAGGTCTCGAGGTATGCAAGAAATAAAAAATGAAGGGAGAAATCAAGAAAACAAAATGTGACTATATAAGAAGTTTAAAAATTCGAATGGAATAAAAAACAAAGGCAAAATTTAAATTATTACCTGAGAAACACATCTTCAGACAATTATAAAGACATAGATCAAAGACTCAATGGCAAAAAGACAGGTGCCTCAATAATATTAAAAATATATAAATTAAACAATAAAATTTTTTTCATATTGATAAAGATTTAAAAGATTGATAATACCCAATATGAAAAGAATCAAGTATGGAATTATTCACACATACATTGTAGGTGGCAGACAATTTGACAGTACCCTCAAAATTTAATATGTACCACAACTTTATAAAAAGAAAAAAAGTTGGAGGGATTATGCTCCTTACTCTACCTGACTTCAAAACTTATTATAAAGTTACAGTAATCAATTCAATGTAATATTGGTGTCAAAGTAGATAAATAAATCAATGAAACAGGGTAGAGTTCAGAAATAGACCCCCATTCCTATAGAGCTGGTGTTTATTTAACCCTTGGTGTGGGTGGGATCAGTGGTGGGAAGAGGTGCCATGTGGAGTTTGTGGCAAGCCCCAGTGGAAGAACAACATAGGCTCCTGGGATTCTGGAGCAAGGCCAGGACATCTGCAGTGGAGGATTATAGGCTTTTGTTAGACATCTCCTGGCACGCTATTGCACTCTGGTAAAGATGGCATGCATGACCATGGGACACTAAATGACTACTCCACCAGAACTACCCATTATGAGATAGAACCTGTCAAACCCATCAAATCATGAGTTAAAGGGGTTTAGGAAACATCCGTTGTAAGATGGAAGTGGTACATTCATACACAGGAGGTATAAGCAAGCATATGTCATCCACCACTGTTACATCAGCATCCCCTACAAGATCTTCAGGTTGCTGCCTGAATACTTTGAGCTCTTTTTTCAGAGACCAGCAGGCAAGATGAGGAGTCACTGTCTTAGAGGAGATAAATAATCCTGATAGCAGTAGAAAGTAGGCTGCTATCACACAATGTGAGCAGGGAGGAAAATGTGAAATGCAGTGATGCACGTAGTACCCCTTGCCCAATTGTAACTGTAAATGCACAGGTTCAGCAAATATGGTCTGAGAAGGGTGAAATGACCAGTGTCTCACGTCAGCAGAGGTGGCTGAGAATGGATAGTGGAGAAGGGAGATGATGAGTTATCTTTT